AACTATTGAGCACTATCTAGACAATGATAAACCGATTTCTAAAATCGATTGTCTCGATGAACTGGTGAGAGCGACCTTTGTTTTCACTCAGTTACCTCCAAAAAGATAAACGAGAAACGCTCTTTGCTAATACATATATATTACTTAGGGAATCTTCTTTCCCTCATTTCTCAAAAACGGCTACGGTTGCGGTAATAAACAAAGTGGTAATAATTAAAAAAGTTGTTTATGAATAGCACTCGTCAGAATTTTATTTTTATTCAGTTATCCCAAAAAAAACTGAACGAGAATCTGTTAAAACGCTCTCAAACGACGTTTGTATGAGCGTTTGCTGCTTGACACAAAAAATACTTACGTGACTGTTTCAAGTTCCAGTGTGTTGTTCAGATCTGAGCACGTTTTCTGTTATAGTGCGAAGAACAAGTTTCTAGTTATATAATTTACAATCTATAGTTATGGTTGTTAACTATAGTAACTAACTCTTATAATAATTGAATGCAGATAATGGATACAATTTTACGAATAGTATGTAAAATTACTTTTGTATATTGATAAGTTTGTCGTAACTGAATTTTAATGTGTTGTGTACAAATATCAGAAAAATCTATGAAACAAGCTAATTGATATTGTACTGGTAACCATATATACAATACATAGTAGTGTTTTATGCCGAGTTTTATGTTTTATTTAGTGTGTTTTCTATAAGATTCTTGACAGAATAACTGGGTTCTAGACTCAAACACCTGAGTCTAAGAACTGAGACATGTCCCACACTCAGGTACGGCCTCATTATTAGGCGAGAATGTTACAATAAAAAGCTCTGTACAAAATTTTGGTGAAAGAGCAGCTATCTCCGTCAAAGTGAGGCTACGACATTATCCTAACCGTATCTACATGTCTTAGAAAAATTTATTAAAGTTACGGATTTCTGAGTTATTACTATCGTACAGTTCTGACAATAGGTCACGTTAATACATATTGTTGTTATCATAGCGATCAATTTAATGCATGGATAGCTCAACCAGTAAAAGACGTTATCCCAAAATGTTTACCAATTTTTGTTATTTTTATTTCGCAACACCCCTTATTACGTAGATAACTATGTGCCCCTGTTGCTACTAGGAAGCGGTTGTTAATGTGTATGCGAGGGCTTTAGTGCAATGATTATGTATGTGGCATTATAAAGTCATGCATATTGAGACTATATGCATGTTTGTTTTGCAATTATTTATAACTTTTAGAACACTGGCGAATTTTTTTTTATCAATATCCAAAGGTATTCGATAAAAGTGACGATTGGTTATCTCAATTTTTTTTCACATAATTTCTCAAAAGAAGAAAAGAACCAAATGTGCTACGTTACGTCAATTTTGATCGGTAATTACAAGTGCGGTTCGATGCTTTTAAATTAGAAATATCATAGTACAATTATTGTGTTATTAGTTGCAGATGAAACCCAAAACAGTAAAAGCAGCTCAGGCAAAATCTCTTTATGACATGTCAAAAAAACCAACTTAAAAAAAATCTCTCTCCCGGTCCTCCAAAAACAACTAAAATCCAACCCACAGTAGAAAGAAAATCGTTAATTCGTATGAAAATGGTACGTTTGTGCAACAAATGCAATCGCTCAGCCTTAATTGAGCAGACATGGGTGTTTTAATTAACTGTGAGTTTAAAAGCACATGTACCAAAAACTTGAAAATCCGATACTTTGTACTATTGAAAACCAATGTTGCGTATTATGATAATGTGTTTTGTTCATAACAGATAGATAATTTTTGACGCAATGAGCAATGTTGGAGATGTTCGAGTCAGAAATTCGATGTCAATATAAATAGTCGACTATCTAATCGTACTTTATGTTTAATAGATAAACGTTAAGTAAGACATAACTGAGCCATATGTTAAATAATTTGTTCGTGCGACGGCTCCAAGATCAAGCCATCTGTGCGCTGTAATGTTATTCTGTTGCAAAAGGGATTATATATTTGGACACATTAAGGAATGCTTTGTTTACACTTTGTAATCCTAACACCAACATAATTAATTGCATTTAACAAACAGTCGACACTCCCTAAATGCACACTCTCCCTAAATGCACGATATTCTGCGGTCCCAACCTCGGAACTTAGTACTTAAATGCACACACGTGATATTAATTACGCATTTAGTAAGCAACATCAATATTGTCATACATCGAGTAAAATTATAATTGGTAGGATTTTAACATCAGCACCGTTACCCAATATGTTAACATGATCATTAGCTACTGCACGAATTATCGGACTAGTTATTTTATTTTATAGCTCCTATTAATCAGGCCATTTTCAGTTCGAAGATCAGACGGTGCTTAAACATAATATTATTTAGTTTTGACAACCAAATAGTTATTTAATCAATGGGTTTCGCATAGTATCATCGATTTTAAACTTTGAAATCGTATACAAACGCATAACATTGATCAATAAAATTACCATGCTTCCGAGAACAAAGATTACTTTGACAGATGCCCAAAAGTATGAATGTTGTCTGTGTGCTTACCGCAATCCAGGAAATCGAATAGAGTACGTTAACTGGATTGAAAACAAATGGAATGTCAGGGTCAGCGAATCTTAATCTTTCAGAGTCAATGGAAATTGAATAATCTCTCACGGTTCCCGAAGAAATCATTGTTTATGAGATTCCAGATAGTGAACAAATAGTTACAGAGCTTGCTGAGATTTTTAAAGACGAGAATAGTAATGATTTAGAGAACGCGGATGACAGTACTGAACAACTGTCATTAGCGCGAGTTCTGCATTAAAAAGCCTGAAACTGTACACGCATTCTAATTGCAGCAAGAAAATACGAAAAATCAATTGAAGTGCGCAAATATTTTAGAAAGGTATATTAGAGAAAAAAAGATTAGTTCAGTCGACGGTTGAACTTAGACCAATATTTCAAATAAATTATAATACGTCGAAATGTTATTACGTGAATGTGTACCAGCTTGCATTGTTCTCTAAATGCACGACAGCACTCTCAGTGTGCATTTAGGGAGTATCGACTGTATATGGATAGGAGATAAGTGAACAAAACGACGTCAACTTTGTATTTGTATAGCCCGGTTAACTGATTCAATTCACATTGAATCAAGTACGCAAGCTATCTACAATCATCAATCTACACTTTGATAATGATATTGGAACAAACACTGGTATATTGCCAAGCAGTAATTTATTATACAACATACTTATTAAAAATCATAGGTCGTATCCTAATTCGACATCTGATACAATAATTCTAAACCCGGATTATAAACAAACGCTTTATCCATTGTTAGTGTCAGCCGTTTGTGACCTCCCTTATTTAGTGGTCCTTTCTTGACACAGTTACGGTGGACCGCTAGAGCTGTTTTTGAATCAAAATAGTATTTACACATAATAAAGTCAAAAAGGAGGGCTAATATAACTACCTGATGGGAAGAAAGAAAAAGTTAGGGCAACTACTAGTGAGTGCTATTACCCAAATTACATAAAACTTTTGTTCTAGCAACAAAAGAATGAAAGTTAGTAGGGGGTGTCTATACTAGTAAAACCCATGGTCGGGGAAAACTAGTAGGGGGTTATGATTGAATCTTTTTCTTTTGTTTTTTGTTCGATCTTCCTGCAGAAGGGGAATGAGTCCCCCACAGACAGATTACGGGATGGGGTGGGTGTACCACTCCGTTCCATACAGTTGGAATTCAAGGGGGGGAGGAGAGGATGGGATTTCCACTCGAATTTATCTTCCTCGACTGCAGGGGGTGGAGGTGGGGGGTTTGTGAATACACAAATAATGCAACAATTTATTTTGTAATTCAAATTCTGTAACAAAAAACGTAAATGGTGTTCCCGTAAATGCTTATACGACTTGGTCAAAGAGACACAAAGTTTAAAAATAAACACCCCCGTTACTTTGTAGATTTTGTACCAGTCGTGCTATTAGCCGACAACAAAAAGACAACCAATTTTTATTTATTAGATTAATAAATATATGATAATTATAATGTTATATAGTGATAATTAATTGTACTAATACTATCACACAATGTGCTAAAAGTCACCACAATACAAGTGTTCTTTAAACATTAGATTGATAAGTAAGATTCTAAATTCCAAAAATTTCAAAAAATTCTATGTTTATCCCAATAGCAAATACAATGGCTGTTACTTTCTGATACACATCAGGTGGTATTCCGTACCAATTTTTGTACAGAGCAGCAAGAATTATATGTGAACCGATGACATGGGAAGCAGCAATAACGTAAGCTACTATAATTCCGCAAACGTAATTCTTCAAACCCATTTCGTTTAAACACCATGCTAGGAACGCGGATATACCAACTAGAATTAATATAAAAAGTATGACCCAAAAAATTACGCCCATCCACACTGTCCATTTGGGATCAGGATAATCTGAGGGTAACATGACGACAAACGTAATCAAAGCTGCCCAGCCGGCAAAAAACAGGGAAATGGCCGCAAAGGCGGCAAACCACCGCATAATGTCAGTACATCGCTTATCTGCCCTTTTGTTTTTATATGGATTGCTTTTGGAAATAACAATGCAGGTGTTTAAATGCTTGACAGCTTCTGGACCACATTTTCCAAGCGCCATGAGTATAAAAACCCAATTTCCGTTACATGTAAAACATGATGAAATAGCTGGCCCTAATGTCATGACGAGTTTGATGGTGAATAGTAACAAACTCTGATTCTTTGAAGGTTTTGCTAACGTTCTCACGGTAAATATAAGAGCTAAAAGCCAGCTGCAAACTCCAAATAATCCGTATGGTAATCCATAACAAGATATGTCTTTCGCTATCGGTCCGTAGTCTAAATAATTAAGTGGTTTACCATTATGCTTATTTGACGTTGTTAATAAGATGTGAATTAAGCTTACCAGGCATTTCGTATTTGTATTGTTATGTTTAAAATAATTCTTCAAAAAACGTCAACGTATATATAAAAAAATGGTGCGTTGCACAAACTTATTTAACACTCTTTATTTTGTGGATTCTGGCAACGATAATTGGCTATATTTTAAATGGTTAGCAGTATGCAGGGTCATTAGTTACTATTGTGAGTAATGGTGCGTTTTTCTTTGTATACTGTACTACTGAGCGGCAGTATAGTAGAAATTACGAATTATTGTTCTCAAAAAATAAGCCTATTACTATTAAATGTTCTGACCCAAATCGAAATAAGCTCAGAGTGATATCTATGCGATCTAATCACAAAATTTATACACAACGGTCGGACACATACTGCACAACAGGGTACACAACAGGTTATTTTCTAATGATTCGAACAATGTTGACTACAGATACTATTCACTCTCTTACATGAACACTTCGTTGAACAGTCTGATTAACAGTTATATTTTCTTGATTCTTCACTATTAGCTAGCGCCAGACGTCTCGCCACTTCAGTTAGTGAGACAGTTGTATCTTTCAACTCACGAAGTCTGCTAGTGTTTACTCAAGGTCAGCCGCTTGATAGCATATATCTAACGTACCTAAAGTACACCCAAGTCTATATAAGTTATCTCTTACAATTCCTAACACCTTGCATGGCAAAATTTTCTACCAAGCCGTAGTCTAACTACATCACCAACAATAAACGATTGAACTACTCTTCCACCTTCTACCTTGCGATCGATATTTTGTTGTACATTTTGGCATGTATATCAGTGATCGCTGTCGGTTTCATTATCGTTACGGTCTGTACAGAGTTGTCATTAGTATATAATATTAAAAATACATTAATAAAAATTTATACTATTCTTACCGCCTACGACCAACCCCTGACAGGCAGAGAAGATTACTACTGTACAGTTTTAGATAGTGGATGGTATAGGCTGGGCTGTATACTAGATACTCATTATTAAGCAGCTGATTTAGAAGCGGTTGAACAGCGTATGATGGACTGGATGGCATCCCAGAAACAATTATCTCGTTAACAGTGCTAATAGGAGACGAAGCATAGACGAAGACGTCCATGTAGAGGGAGAGCCAATATTCATGCAGACAATGATTTTATTAATTATTGAACTGTTAATGCTACATCTCATGTTATTTGTTATAGTTTATTATTTATTAAAGACGAATAAACAGCTACTATGTTTTAATCCTTCATGCGTTTAGAATAAGTACTTATTAAAAGAAACATCATCGCTGATGCAATCCAGTATGTGATAATCAACCCGATTTTTTTAGTACTGACTTCAGTTGTTTCCCCATAAAAAAGTGCAGTAGAATATGCGATAAGTATATGTTCTTCTTGTGTACAAACAAACGCTATCTGTCCAACCGCTATGCATAAATTATGTGACAACATTGAAATGAATATCACTCTGAGATAATCGATTGGGCCAACCGAAACGAGATGCGATTTGGGTCGACCCGATTCTGAATTGGGTCAGATTTTGATTTGGGTCAGAACATTAATACGATTATTTTCAAAATTAAGTCTATTATTTCTATATTGCGTATTGCTCACTTGACAACGTAATTCATTGTGTATGCTTTGACTGACAAATTCTGTTCTGCATACAGTCGAATTTCGTTATACCAAACTCCATTATACCGAAGGACTAAGTCAAAACCCGCTATACTGAAAATAAGTACGGAAACGTCTGTAGCAAATTTAACCTCGGTATACCAAATTTATTAATTATACTGACCTCTTCGTTATAACGAGGCTCGACTGTAATTTGTTCATTTGTATTGCTGCATATATACATACTAAAGTACAGTAAATTATTATTGCAAATACTGCGCAAAACCATAAACGGTCGTATATTAATTCTCGTCTTTAGTGCCGACAAATATTCACCAACATTATTCCAAAGTTATTCTTTTATGGTAGTGTATTGTCGGTGAAACAGTACGGACCTCGCGTCGACAAATAAAACTTTTCTGCCTACACCGATTACACTTTCCATAAAGATTGAGACTCAAAGAAGTAAACTTTAATGTTTGCTGTATTTATGCCAACCGATAAACATATACGTATTTGTTTTAAATCACAAAATTTGATTATTGAATATCGAGAAACACCATTTTTGAATTTGAGACTATCAATGTGAATATCACTGAATTTTTAAAGCTACGATTAATTTAGTGAACGGTTTTTCCAATCAAATCATACCAACCATTATCTTATCAGGATACGGATCGATAGCGTCACAGAATACTTTGACGGAGACAGCTGCAAAGCTCGCCAAAACTTTGTACAAAACTTTTTATATCGCAACAACCTCGCTAAATAATAAGACTGTACCTACTTGTCTATCATATTGCTTTTGTATCAACAATTTTTATAAAACTATGATATACAGTATATGGCTATCAGCATATCAATTAGCTTTTTCATAGACTTTTTGCTGACATTAGATAATAACATTAAACAACACCGACCGCTACATTAAATTCAGTTACGACAAAATTTAAAATTTTAAATAAATATACAAAGTAATTTATATACTATTCGTAAAACCATATTCGTTATCTGTGTTCAACCATTTACATTACAAGAGTTATTAGTAATTAATATAATTTTTGTACTATAGTTAATAGCCATAACTATAAGTTATTGTCACGGCTGATACTGAAATAAGTTACTTTGTTGATAATATTAACAATCTGATCGATCCGGGTTTAAAAGTGTATTAAAAATGCCCTTTCGGCCTAAAAGGGTATGTTAATTACCACATAATATATATCATTTCGAAAATGATATAGTAAACAACATAATATTTGCGACGCATAGCTCTGTTGCTTCCAACAACAGTTTCCATATTGCTTATCCTGCGTTCTATATCCTCAATGCAAAAGGTTTGATTTGTGAATATTTTTTTTTCCATAATAATGATGATGGTATAATCGATAAGTTGACCAGCCTGAATCCCGTATTTTACCAGCACCCCCTCTTTGAGGTCTTTCTAAATCAGCAAAGATATGGATATGTTAATACAGAAAGCAATATGGTTAAAGTACCGGGTCATTGTATTTACCCCGCTCTACACCTTTAATTTTATTACACTAATTCTATCGCTCTCGTTGCCGGACCGTGAGCAAGATTGTAAGGATCAAATGTAGTGTGTATTTAGCTAACCATAATCAGCAAACCTGCTTTTTTGAATCAATATTATCATTATCGAGAAACAGTATGTCTTTACCAGGCTCTAAAAAAGTGATCACATGTAGGTCTTTTGAACGAAAATATTTGACGATTTGATTGGGGCAGAGAAAATTTTTATTATTCGTGAGATAATAAATACTAAATATTACAAATTTACAAATTCCTTTCAGCTCACTCTGCACTCCCACCCCTACAAATGCAAATTTATCGTACGGTATAATCTGAGAGGAATATGCGGAATGCATTCTATAAGAGGCTTGATCGATTTGCGTGCAATGTAGCACAATTAAGGGTATGACACTTTACCTTGAGAGAGAAGATTTTTAATTCAACTATGTCGTTATTTGCTAATAATCCAACTATTGCCAACTTGGTCTTAGAAAGCAGGCATAAACTTGCATGGATTCCTTTCGAGGAAATCACTAACGTAAAGCCAACTAAAATTGACAACGTCTACTGCGCTATTCGCAAAGGTTACTATGATGAGACAATAACGCTGCTGTTACTTGGAAGTAGCGAAGAATGCACAGCAACACTTGTGAGTGAGTTTGCTAGAATACACTCACTCCCAACACACAAGTACAATAACAATGACAATAACTTTAGACGATACTCCAAATGGCTTAGTGAACGCAACCAACTCATAGAGGGGTTTACCAACTACAATAACAACTATTACATGGTTGCTCGTAAACCCTTTTACCATTGTTATTCTCGATATGGCTTCTGCTCCACATGTGGAATACTCCGATGTGGTGCATTTGTGGTTATAAACAATTATCC